TCGTCTCTTACCTGCACACAGGTCGGGCCGGGAGCTCGGCCCGACCCCTCCGACGATCGAGTTAGAGAAAGATGTGGAGGGGGTTTAGGAGGAGGAGAAACCTCTGTCTGTTGAGTATGTGATCCCCCCCCTTTGCCAAGGGCTCGGGGGTATTTATAGAGGAGGTTTGAGGTTACCTGATGCAAGGCAGGACTGTACCTTTGGTTGCGTGGGAGGCCGAGCTGCTGCAGGGTATGGCGAGCCTCGGGCAGTGTGTTGCTCAGGGGGATGGCGTGTCACACTGCCATTTTTGTCCATATCAGTTTTTATGAAGATGGGAAGAGTAGTCTTAAAGACCTTGTTTTCAATTGAAAAAGGCCAACTTCCAGGAGCTCAGCATACTAGGTCTGTGGTATCATCTTCCGTTACATTCACCATCCACCTACAGATGTAAACACGAGGGAACAAAGTTCTAGATATTTTTTCTAGTTAGTCGTAGATTTTTTTTTTTTTTTATCTTTCCTTCATTTCTTTCTGCGCCAACTTATTTGAAATTAAGTAGGTTTTTTTTACTCTTTTTTGCTTTGTATTTGAAATGGTACACTGGTTAAGAAACACAATGAAAATTTCCTGCAGAATTTGAATGTGTTTCTGGGTGTAAACAGATTGATAATATAAATGCAGTAGGCCATAATGTCATAGTACCTTCCCTATAATATAAATAAGCATTACAACTGGCTTGCAGGTTAATGCGACCTGCATGGCAGAGGGTTCTGATGCAAGATTGCTAGATATGTGTTTTGATGAAAACTTGGTTGGTAATTGGTTTTACTGGTCAGCGTATAGGATGATTCAAGCAAGAAAGGAACATCGTCAAACTTAGTGTGCCTATTTTACTTTTTGTTCCAATTACTCTTTGATTTTTGTCAGTCAGAAATGGATAACAACACCTGCCATGAATTATATGTTGCATTTGATCATTTCATTGTCTCCTCCATAATATTTTTGCCATGATTATGGCACAATTGTTCAAGTTAGTTGAGGGTTGTTGCCTGTTGGTTATTTATAGCTTGTGCATTACTAAGGCATAGGTTTCACTTATTGATCAGTGTAAAATCTTTGCCGTGACTTAAATAACCACACAAGTTACAAGTGTCATTGGTTGCCCATAGTTCATGCCGTAAAGCACGTCAAGGTTTTCTCAACTAATTCATAATTATCTTGATATATGTGATTTGTTGTGTGGTACTTGTAGATGCTACCGCCCGATTCCCATTACAACCACACCAACCAGGTCAATCTTCGGCAGAACTTCTCAGCAGGTAATGCATTAGTTGAAGATTTATCTCCTTTTATTTCTTTTGCAGTAAAGGTTCCAAGTTGAGCAATGCTGGTCTGTGTGAATGCAGGTTTAGAAGGAATGCTGGAGTGGTAGCTTCAGGTGTGGCTAAGAACCTGAACAAAGTGGGAAATTACATAAAGGATAATATTGATGATATATTTTACCCTTTCCGCAAGCCACCCAAGTAGCAAAGCCACAAGCCACCCAAGTAGCAAAGCCACAAGTCCAACATCGAGCAAGAGACCAAAGAGAGCAAGCCACCCAAGTAGCAAAGCCACAAGTCCAACGTCGAGCAAGAGATCAAAGAGGGCAAGCCACCACCCAAGTAGCAAAGCCACAAGTCCAACGTCGAGCAAGAGATCAAAGAGGGCAAGTAGCAAAGCCACAAGTCGAACATCCAGCAAGAGATAAAAAGAGGACTGCAGCACATTACTGTGTGAATATTGCTAGTTTAAAATTACAACCTTAGATTTGTCCAAATGCTAAGAACAATTGTAGCTCGAGTACTCGAATGGTCATTTGCCTTCAAAATTTTATTATTTGTAGTCAGTAACTATCCAAAACACGAAGGGATTTATCGGTGATTCTATTCTGCTTGACGAAGGGATCACTTTCGTCGAATGTACTTAACATCAAGGATTTTAACATATGTTGATTGGTATTTGTTATTCTAATTATCAAATATTTTTTATATTTTTATTATATTATTCAATGATATTAGATGTGGCATATCTCAACGTGTCATAGTATTATATCAATCGAGAGGTCACTGAAGTCAGTAATGCTTGCCATAATGTCTGTTTAAGCAATTGTGCAGTTATATATATATATATATATATATATATTCGAAATAAATATGATATTTTATTTATCCAACTTATTGTCAACGGAGAGGGACGCCGTGGCATCCAATTTATTGCAAGAAGAGAAACAATAATTTGCAAATGAATCAAAAAGCTTTTCATCGCACTGATTGCATATTCCATCATCTTTGGAAGTGAAGTAACTATCTACACTAAGAGAAAGATTTCCTTCATCTTATGTGCGTTCTGTTGAACGAGAATAGGCGATCCTCATCATCCAGCTTGGAAGAGCCACGTCGAGGTTGGTGTTCGAACACTTTCCAGAAACGAATTGTTTCGTCCGCTGCAGCCGACGCCACCGTGCATCCATCCGGGCTCTTCACAAACGCGAAAGAGAACGTTTCAGAAAAGAAGATTCACAGAAACATCACTCGCAATCAACAGCTTCGGCTTCTTAATTACCTGAGAAAGGTGTAAGACTCTGGCGGTATGCCCGGTTAAATCTGCGATCTTTGTCATCGAAGGGTATGCCCATAAGCTCAGCTGATTCTGACTGTAACCATGGGCGCTCAGAATCTCCTTCTCGTGTCTGTTCCACTCCAGCGCACAGACCTGTTCGATGACTTGGTGTTGTAGAAATCATGTTCTTGGATTAGAAGGAAGAATCAGATTTGGGAATGTGTCGTGCTTAATTGCCTGCGCAGAGGTGTTGATGCTGTCGGTACACTTCCCCGTTTGGGTGTTCCAAATCTTGATGCACTGGTCAGCAGTTCCACCACCGGAAGCCAACGTGCTCGATCGGAACGGGCACCACGCGAGGGCTCTCACGGCGGCGCAGTGGTCGCTGTACCTGTGCAGGTACTTTGACGATCCCATCTTCGAGGATTCCCACACGTGAACGAGGTTGTCGTTGCCGCCGCTCGCCAGCAGATTCCCGCCGCCCGACCACTTCAGGCCACAGACTTCTTCGGAGTGTGCTCTAAGCCGAGAGGCCAAGTGGTGGGAAGATCTAACTGCAGAGATCAGTCAAGGAAACCTCAAGTTGCATTCAGTTGTGATCCATCCGTCAGACAGAGCCAATTGTGATCTTACCATCATGGTTAATTATGGATGCGTCATGGCTGCCCGATGTCAAGACGTTCTGATTCCAAGAAAGGCTGCCGACTCGAGCCGAGTGCCCTTCCAGGATTCTAACCTGCTATCGTAGATAATTGTGGTTGAGAGGTATGTCGGTCAAAGAAGACGACAAGAGTGGTCGAGGTTGATGTCGATCAAACCTGCTGCAATTCTATGGCATCCCATATCTCAACTCTGGATCTCGCAAATCCTACGGCCACAGTCTTGGCATCCATGGACCAGGCAATGCTTGTGGGGTGATCGTCCTCATCTGCTGCTGTTAGCAGCAACTGTACGGAATTGTTCGTGGCATTCCAGAGGTAGACTGAGCGCCCCAGGGCGACTGCCAAGATGTTGTTCTTCCCCCAGTCCATGAGGTTTAGGTAGTAATCATCAAGGAGTGCCGTCCCATCCAGAATCCGATCCGCTGACTGCATCCATTCATCAAAGCAGATGACTTCAGGAAACTTACAGTAATTAGGAAGTTGCTGCATCGTCGAATTTTCGGGTTACCTTGGGAACATGACGAATTCGATCGATCGGCCTTAGCCGCGCCTGCTGATCTTTCATCATCTCGTCCACAAGAAGAACGCTGGGTTTGGAGTTTCTTGGGCTCCCTCTGAAAACCAACATCCTGCGTGGCTTCCCCTCCGAATCGAGCCTCATATTCTCCTCCACCCTCCTCCTGTACTCATCCTGCCGCCAGAACAGGGTCAAGAACGAGAGGCCTAAGCAGCCTAATCAGAAAAGACGGAGCGGTAGGGACCTTAGGGGTCAAGATCACGGGGCTGTCGATGGCGGCAGGCTCCCTCCGTCGCCTTTCCGTCAGCGAGGACCGAGCGAAGTCCAGATTCATCAAGCACCTCGTCGGTATGAACCGATCCCCCTTCAAACCAAGACCCAACCTTTCAGAACGAAGATTTAAAGGGCGAGCAGAGAGAGAGAAAGGAGATGAGCAGAAGAGGATTCGGGAATTACCGGATGGGCGAGCTCGTTGGAGGCGGGGGAGTACCACTCTCGATCCCGGAGCCTCATCAGAGGCGACGCCATGTCGCGGGACCAAGAAAGGAGAGATCTTGGAAGGGGAAGGGGAAGGGGAAGGGGAACAAAGATTAGGGTCTCTCGGGGGAGAGCAGAGGAGGGAAGGGAAAGAGTTGATTCCAACGGTCGTAATGGAGCGCGGGGCCTTTAGACGAAGGGGTTTCCTCTTGTTATATGGAAGAGAGGCCGCTTCGTTTCCCGCCTTGCACGCAAGTGATTCAGGTAGGAGAAGCCGTTTCCGACTCGGAGAAGGCCATTCCGATTCCGAACTCAACTCGGACCACTAATTTTGTAAAAGAAGAGGAAAAAAAAGAATTCATATTATTTTAATTTTAGATAGTTGTTAAAAACATTTGAGAAATTTTGATCTCACATTGAGTGGGACAAATATCTATAAAACAAAATCACATTGTCCTACACAATAATCTTTGATAAATATTTTGTTAGGGTTGCTAACATTCCCCAAAGCTTAAGTGGATGAGGCAAGCATAATATATTTACAAGCCTTCACAATAATTTTGTAAAAGAAGAGGAAAAAAAAGAATTCAAATTATTTTAATTTTAGATAGTTGTTAAAACATTTGAGAAATTTTGATCTCACATTGAGTGGGACAAATATCTAAAAAAAAAATCACATTGTCCTACACAATAATCTTGATAAATATTTTGTTAGGGTTGCTAACATTCCCCAAAGCTTAAGTGGATGAGGCAAACATAATATATTTACAAGCCTTCAAATAGTTAAGCTTAAATTGTGAGAAAAGAGTCTAACATATTTATAAACCTTATCAAACTTATTACCAATCAAGAAATTATTATTAGGATTGAGAAGTCAAGAATAATTTTAAGTGATTGATTATATTGGATTTGAGTTGATTGTATAATCCCATGAATTTTACTCCTCACAGACCACTTCAAATTTCAAGTGATGTATTGTGGAAGCAGTGTTTAGATGTTTAATTTTCCTTTTGTTTTTTTGGTTAAAAATGGACATCACCAAAGCAATATAATATATAAAGGTCTTCTTTACAAACTGAGAAACAAAGATATACAGTAAACTCATGAAATAGCCAATTCTGTCATCAAAATGCATGCGAAGTAGTTTGAGGGGTGGATGTGATCTTAGCTTCGATGGGAAAAAGAAGAAAAATAACATACCAAAATGCCGTCCGACTTGCTTAGAGCTTGTTTGAACATAAAAAGCTAAAATTACAAGGACATGAAAAGGCTGCTATCTAACAATTGAAGAAGTATCTTCGTTTCTTTTGGCACCATACACTGCATGTACCTAAGTGTAACAGAAATTGTAGAATCAGAAGAACAAGAAAGTTAACAGAAAATTTGAGCTACACGATTATATGGAAACAACCAAGTTAAAATAAAATTAAGATCCATGAGAAGATCAATCATATCTTTACATGTCATTGGAATATTTAAACTATGGGAGAAAAAAAAGAACTTTACTAGATCAAAGCAAATGATAAATAAAACTGAAATTAAAATTTTCAAGACCATAATATTCATCGATAGATAGCAAAATTTCATCATTCCAAAAAACAAGGCTTTCCAACTGAATTAAGTTCACTCCAAAAGTTGGACTGATCTTTTATCCAATATTAAGGTTTACTAAGCTTTACTAATCTCGAAACTTCAACGCTGAACCTCGCCTCTCTGATCCTTCGTAGCTACAATCCTTTTCAAGAATAAGCTTATGAAGCAAGCAGTCATTATTGTGTTGACCTAGGCATTACTTTTTGTCAAGGTCAATAAGATTAAGTAACCATTAAGTAGGAGTGGACGAGACAACTCATTGGTGGGTCAACTAGAATTGTGAAGTCCCCACCGTTAGGGTCTATAGGCCAAAACTGATCTGTTGGGGTTAATATTTCTAAAAGACAACACAAAAGTGTCTGAAGAGGACCTGAAGCCTTTTTCTTTTGTTTTTTTAGTAAACAATATTCATAACCTAAAAGCACCTCTAAGAACACGAAGTGGACCTTCTACTTTCATTGACCTATCGACAAGTAATGACACCACAATGTTTACTTATCTTCCTCTTGATTTTGCATTGTGCTATAAGTTCAACAATTTTCCAAAAGAAATCTTAATGCATTGATGTGAACCACGCAAATAAGATAATTAGGATATTTAGATTTATCAAGCAATTTTGGCACATGATTTACCACAGTAACAAACATGGAGCGAACAAATGCTTCAAGTCACACAACAGCCACTACGAATGCAAGCAAATGCTACATACATTTGACCATCCCTATTTCACACATTGGCCACCCTTTTCTAATGGAAAAACTAATCCAACTTCAACAGCAAAATTGTCATTATTTTGCTGGGTAACATATGACCTGTAAGTTGTGTAGTGAAGGCACATGCTTCCCTCCAAATATTTCAAAATTCTGCTTCTTTTTCTTTTCTCTTGTCTGCACAAGAAATGACTGCACTTACCTAGTGTGATATGTAAGGAAAAAAGGTCCCATAATAAGCAGGTAAAGTAAGCCAATCCAAAATTTCTCCACTTCACAAAGAGTTGTATTTAACTCTCTACATGACATTTCAAGTTGTGACAATGCAAATATCCAGAATAAACCTCATCTAAATATGTCAAGTTCGCTGGAAGGTTAGTACATTGTGTTCCTCGATTTTCATTTAGAAATATGATGTAAATTCCGATACCTTTCTACTATTATAAAACAGTGGTTCCCTGCTCTATTGCCCTACCAGATGCTACATCACCCTTTATATTGGCCTTCTTTTTCCAAATTCTATTATCAAACCTCTAAGCCAAAACTAAAACTACATTGCTGAATGGTTGTGCAAAAGCTCCAACCTTTCAGACAAAACAAAAACCAGATTGTTGAATGGTCCACCACTATTTGTTCTGCTTACCCTCTTCTCATATAATCTTTAGCACAATAAATCCTAACCTAGTGGGGTTTCCTAATTGACCTCTCCAAAGAATGCAATTAGCTCGAGAAAGTTTAATTTCTAAAGAAGAAGAAGAAGTCTTACGAATATAGCATCTCTGGATGAGAACAATTTTTAATCGGATCCGTGATCCGTCCTTCTTTTACTCCAAACAAAGGAAACAATCTAAACTCACAAGTGCAAATCTTCAATAAAATAGATCAGTCTAAACATTACAACAAGATAAAATACTGTTCCAATTCGACATCAGAATTCACATGTCCACAGTACCTTGGTCTCTAATCCTGGGAGCTCTTCGTTGTGGCATCGGAGGCCGCGGCATTACTTCGACGGAGGTCTTCAATCAGGCCGCCCAGCTCCTTCCGAGCTGATTCCCTCCCGAACATGAAGCCGTACCTGAAGAAACCCGACCAGAAACCCTAATGCTCCGAACCACGAAACCCTAAACCCTAAAGTTCGGCGGGGAGCTGGAGCTCACCAGAAAGAGATAACGGAGAAGACTCCCGCCGAGATCATCGTTTGCGCAAGGCTCAGCTTTTTGTCCATCGCGGTCCGCCGAAAACCAAACAAGCGGTGATTCCTCGTCGCTAACGTGACGACGATACCAAACGGCGCACGATGGAGACTTCAAACTTCTTCCAGACTGGTCGTGTTTTTGAAAACTGTTTCCGGTGATGGCAGCGTCTCAGAAACATTTTGAAAATTCAAAATTGCACCTCTATTATAATAAATTAAATGTGAGTTGAAACTCTAATTTATACTGATGGTTTATTAAACTCATTTTATGTGGTAATATGTCTTAGAAAGAAAATATCTGAAAAATCCCTAATGCATTTTACATCATCATGAGTTTTTAATTGATATTAATGTAAATAAGGATTTCAACTAATTAGTTAACTTACATTAGCTACAGGAGATTGGCTACAATGACACTAACATAGATTAGATTTTAGATTTTGGAGGAAATATAAATGCCAAAGTCAAACTTAAAAATAAAAAAAGTTACATTCGATGTTAAATAAGAAAATAAAATAAATATATATATATATATATTAATGGTTACAAAATTTTAGGAATTTTGAATATTATAACCATAAAAATGCAAGAAATTGAAATCATTATGCTATTCATTGCACTATCATTTGTATCAATTATTATGACTCATTTCAATCTCGTAAAAAATTATAATGATTTAGTGATCGTCAACAGTTTTGAATAACGAATTCAATAATTTTTAATTAGTTGAGACATCGGCGCTCTGAAGATCATAATTGAATTATTATAATTTATGAATCACACAATTGTTGCTAAAGACTTATATCTGAAGGAAAATTATATGCAAAGAATATTAGTTGAATCATGAATTGCTTGCTTACAATATTTTATGTAGATGATGAAAAATCTCTTCACTAAACACAGGTAAAAGAGCTATCAGACCCAGAAAAGGCAACAAAAAAAAAACAGCTCTTATTGAGATTGATGATAAATTATGAAAGACAACTTGTCCTCTGTAGTTATCATTAACAATTACACGGAAAAACAAAAATTTTGGAAAGAGGGACCAGTATACACCTTTACAAACAATTATACATGCTGTTCTGCCAACTAAATATTGAATCACTAGATTTCACCATTACAAACAATAGAAAGCATTAAAAGTGGTGACGACAGATACAACAAATAAACAAAGAATATATCCAGTCATAATACTAACTGGATGACAAATGATAGTAGGAGAAATTGATGAGTGAAAGAATACAACTGCCGCAGACATCAAAGAAGTTTTCGATTGGCTGGAGGAGGAAGTCCAGGAATATCCGAAATGTCTTTGTTATTTGGATTCACAAGCTGAAAATTCAATGATAATTGTTTTAGAAATCTATACAAGATAATCAAACAATGAATCGTGAAATAGGATTCAATATTCACTCTTTGTTTCAATATGTCAACAAGACTTGCTAAATGTTTAACTAAAATCCTGCATCACAAGTGCTGTAATTAAGATAAGAACCCGATATGGAAATGGAAGAAAAGTTTTACGATGCTTGTTCCCTAAAAGAAGATGATGCTTGCAACTCTAAAGAGTTAGCTCCATTTCTTGCAACATGCACTGATTCTCCTGACTCTTCTTAAAGACTTAAAAGTATACGTTTGATGGTTTGAGATGCAAACAAGCCAAACATATAGATACAAGTTATCGATGTCAATTTAAGAAATGAGTAAACAACTCACTTCAAAATGTAGTTTAGGAAAATTCCTGATTGATTGTATCAAAATGTTCAAATAATAAGGTCGACGAATAGAATGTTTTTAATTTCATTACTCTAGAATATCCAATGAAGTTCTAGCTTCATCTTTTCTCCTCCCAACATAACAGGTAAAAATCTATCTTCAACGATCTATGGCATGTTATGCAAATATAATAACAATTAGTAGCTTGAACCCATAACAGGCATCATTACAATAATCTTTGGAAACAATCTGCATGATCAAGTTCAATAAAATAATAGTTATGTCTCATGAAACAATTAATAGGGTGGGCCTTTGCGATATGGGAAAATATGATTTGAGTCACGAAAATAACCTCTTATGTTTAGAGGAAATATTGTGTACATTGACCCTCCCAGACACTATATTGGTTGGAATTAAGCACATCTTTTCTTTTTATTTTGCAGGACTTGAAAAACATTTTTTTTGATCACCCAAGTAAATGATATTGTGGCTCAGAATGGGTCTTGTTTAAATGTTGAAAGCCCCAGTCTCAATTGATTTTAGCGGAATCTTCAACCAAGGCAACAGAAACACTTAAAGAATACATGAAGATGCAATGGTAGTATCATAGTAGAAGAAAGACCATAAAAGATGCTTGAAAGCAGAAAAGAAAATAAACGACCCACCTTCACAATTATGATTGCTACAACACCAATGACGATCAGGAAAAGCATTGCCATTATGCATCGATCAGTTGCAACCTAAAATTCATAAGGGAAAAATGGATACAATTTAGAAAAGAGAGACCGTGGAACAATCTGAGAAGCATGTCAATAACTTCACTAGAAATGACCTGTCTTCCAAGTTCCTTCACCAGTTGGGATGCCTTCTTCATTGAAAAATGGATCGAATCCAATTCATTCACAATTCTACTCATTTGCTCAGTCTGCCATATTTACAAAATATTAGAAACACTAGAAACAGTGTGCTTTCATGTGGACCCTAAAGAATAACTTGTCTGTTCTAATGCTGAGTGAAAAATGGGATTCTGAACTAGTTATAAATGACAGACCTGTGCCTTCAAAGCAGCCGCTGTCTCTGCTCCAACATTGATAGTCTCTTCAACAACCTAAATATTCAAAGTGTCATGGATAATAAATGTTAAAATAATACAGCTATGACAGGATAAATTAAAATTGAACAACAAGGAATAGTGTAATTTCAGATTTCACACTATAGGATGTTGCTTTTCATTAGCAAGTGAATCATGGAGTCTGAACGATGGAAATCACCGATTTTCCTATGGCCATATGTAGATCAAGGAAATCTTATGAAAAGGCTTCCCTCGAAAAAGAGAAAGAAGAAAATAGACCCATCGAACAACTAACAGAAAATTGCTAAACAGGCAATGAAAAGCTTTTGCAACGCTATGATCTTCATCAGTGTCCTCTACATATTTGAAATGACAAAAATATAAAGTTCCCAATAAAAGCAAGCTCAGCATAAGGGGACCTATATAACTATTAGATGAACATGGAGAAAGAAGCATATATGCTCCCCAATTTGTATCACTCAAGCAGCCTATTTATCTCTCAGTTCACTCTACACCTTCCCTATTGGCGCCTTCTTTGAAGAACATATGAATATATGAAGCAACAATTATCAATGTAGATTTAAGTGCCATGGTGTTTGATAATAAGACATATCTTGTTGTATATGGTAGATATGCACCAACTTAATTGATTACAGAGGAAAAGTAGAAACGCCAAAGGAACCAATTTATCAGAAATAGAATAGACATAAGGATGCTACAATTGGATTCTCATCTTACAATTAACAAAAGGGGAAACAATGTATCTTAGTAACTTGCAAGACTATGAGCATATCTATACATTTCAATCAGGTAAAACCAAACAAAAGGTCAAACACAGAATCATCACAATAAAGACAATGTTCGAGTGATATTGTGCAAGTGCAAGAAACCAACCTGCTTTGATCGTTCAATTGCCTGATCTGTTTCATCCATCATACGGTGTCCAGAATCTATCAATTGTTCATTGGTCATAGCTGCAAGACATGTTGTATAACAAATAATCAGCAAATTATAATAAATAATCTGCAAAATCAGGTTTTGATAATTTGCTCCAACTATCCAAAACAATTCAACGCATATACCCGCACGATAGATCTGATACCAGTTATATAACTACCTAAAAAGCCAACTAGTTAGATGACTTCTAAAAAGTAGACTTCCTCAATGTGGTCCCAAAATGCTTAACCATGACTTCAGATGTAAGATTATTAAATATTACAATCAGGGTTAATAAATACGGCCTCTATACCTTTCTCAGACCAGAAAAAAGGAGGAAGAGGGGAGTCTGAAAAAATACATGAAACATCTTTTTATTGGTTTTATACAGCCAAACCAGCAATTAGGACATCAAACTGGCCATTAGGACACTGAACCAAACTTTACAGCCTTATTTGTATGCACATTATAAAAGATATATTGAGGATTAAGGATTTCCAGAAATGGTTTAAGGTTTGAGAATCTCCACTGCTTTAGTGTCATCCTCACTGCAGTAGCATCTCAATCTTTGAAGAAGGCCAAAAATACATCGATTGAAGAAAGTGGTTTCTTTATATATCATTGGTTGCAATATAGTTTTTTATTTCTATGTTTGGGAATTGTTAGACTGCAACTTGTCCTATTATGTCCAGCAATGCTTCAACCATTGATCACATGTGTGGCACATGCCAACCACCATGACTATTCTTGTTTTAGCTTAACTTCATAATGTATTAATCAAGATTTGGAATATCGTACCGTACCGACGTTTCGACATTCACTCGGTACGATACGATACTGTATACCGAGCAGTATACCGTTCGATATTATATATATATATATATATATATATATATATATATATATATATATATATATATATATATATATATATATATAGT